CTTGCCAATGCCGAAGTGTGCCAGGGGCTGGCGCTGCAGCATCTGCTGAGGCTGGCGTGGATACAGGCTAAGAATAGCCTGTTCCCGAAACCCTGGTTTGGTGCCTGAGTTTCAGGGCCGGTCGTTCTGGTGAACGACCGAAAATAGCCCTTTGTTTCAGGCTAAAAAGGCTCTTGCCATTTTTAGTTTGAAATGACACAGGGACTGTAGGCCCCTGTTTTCAGGCTGAATTCTAGGCTTTTTGGCTGAAGGGCTCAGGGCCTGGAAAATGGCCTGCGTGTGCAGGCGCAGCATGTAACAAGTGCCATTTTCTTTTCTCTGCCACGGGGCCTCAAATTGAAATTTTGCGATGATTGTACATCCGTATAATTCCAAGATATCGTAAATGGGTGGTCCCAACGTCCTAATTTTGTTCTCTTTTTCCATGCTCTGAAAAGTTTCTTATGATATGTACCTTTCTCGGCCTTTTGGCTAAAAGTAGATCGTGTACTATCTGTGTTGATTAGTTTAATATTCTCATCCATGGTCCATCGGGCCAGATGATATTAAGTTAATTTCATGATTTTATCGGGCCACGAAGGGGGGTCAAACGGTACGCTTGCTTACTCGAGCCTTCCAGTGACCGGGGGGAAAAAAAGTAAAAAAGAAGTTTCAAATACGTGTCTGATGATGGATTTTCCGTATGGCCTTGAGCCTTTAAGGGGTGTTGTCTACCTCTGCTCTGATTACATTACCCCTCTCTCCTGGCGACTTGCATTACACCCCTAAACTAGACCTTTTCAGCGTGAATCTGGCTGTAATTGCAGTTACATACATCCAGGAAAGTTTCCTCAATTGCCGTAAAACTTTAAAACTTAGAAATGAGAACTTTGCGAGGATTTAGTACCTCGGCAGTGTCTGAGAGTGTCGTGGCCGCCCTAAGTGAAGGCGGGCCTCCAAATATGTGCCAATGCCTGTTATAGGTCTATGAGACCAGGCTGACGGGCTCAAGCAGAGCCTGTTGGAACCCCTATGTGGGCATGGATCTTCGACAAGGCCTTGCTACGAGTTTGCTCCTCAGCATGGCCCTGCAGGGCCCTTTCAGCAAGCATAAGCCCGCCCTACTGCAGGGCCCTTTCAACAAGCATAAGCCCGCCCTAAGTCAAGGCGGGTTCCTGAATTTCAACATGGCCTGAGTTCGTCAATTTTGGGGAAGTTTGGTAGGCGCCAGACAGTTGCCATGCGCCAGTTGGTTACATCCTCCGAACTCGTGAGAATCAGAAATAATTTGTGACTTCCAGCGCACAGGCAAAGCAGGGAGAACCTCATGTTTACTCCTGAGTGGTTGGGCAGGCCTAACCAATTTGGTCCCAGGCCACTGTCTGAATGGGCCTGGGCACAGACACTTTGGCCCGGACGGAAGCTACTGGAAATACACGAGGCCCAGCCAGGCATCGAACTGGGCAAGCACTTCCCATAAAGGAAAGAGCTCGCCACTGGTGGGCTCATTCGGGCACTAGGCAGTGCATGCGGCAGTGCTGCTTGAGCGTGCCCACGCGGGCTGTGCGCTGTGTGCTAGCACTAGTTGCCAGGCAGTGCCCGCGGGCACTGGAAAAAGGCAGGGTGCGGCTGAGGGCAGCTCCATAGCCAGCCCTACATAGCCAGGGCTTGGCTTGGACAGCCAGTGGAGGTGGTGGTGGTCTTCGTGCATGAGGGAGAAGACGTGGGAGGAAGACAAGGACAGGGAGACAGTGAGGAGAGATGAGGATGATGATGTGAGGGCGCATACCTGGTATTGGCAATGGTCTGCATTGGTCGACATCTTCAATTACTTCGGTGTTTGTTGACGTCAACAGTTGCATTGTCAATTCGTAGGCAGGAAGTAGCTGTGTAGGGAGTAGCCTGGGCGCCGAGCGCCAAGTAGGGAGAGAGGGCCTGAATACGTATGTTGGTGGGGAGAGAGTAAGCTGTCATTGACATTCGGTTTCAGTGTATCGATTCTCCGTTGGTGTAATATTGGTGCAATGCTGCGTTCTGGACACTGGGACTTCTTGCTTTCAATGTGATTGTGTTATCTGGATTCTGTTATCTCACTATTGCTCATGTTCCTTGCAACTTCATGTGCTGGTCTGGGGGCGCAGGGGGCGCTTTGTGCATGTCTTACAAGAAAAAGCAAAACGGGAAAAAAAAGAGCACTTGGAAGGAAAAGTGTATATGGCTGCTGTCAAATCTAACAGTGCCACCCCGGAATTTGAAAAAAAAAAAAAAAAGGCGAGAGAACAGGAATAGCCTATTCATAAAAAAAAAGAAAAAAAGAGAGAGGAATGAGTCCGAATGACCCATTTGGTTACATATATAGGAAGGAGACCAGCGAAAGTGATGGGTGCTCTCCATTTGCGCTGACCCTTTTCGTCTTTTTCTTTTTTTTCGTTTTAATAAACTTTGTTTGTTTCCTCCTGTTCCTGCAGCATTCTCGACCCTAAGATTGTGTTCAGCGAACAAGAGTCTTCCGAAGGTGTGAGAGCGCCCGGAGTTGTGGGCTCCGGCATGGCGCTCCTGTCACCTTACGATATGAAACGCCTGGATTCGTACTCACGCAACCTCGTGGACTACCACCTGGTAAGAGCAGTAGCCAATGAGAATCATTGACATTGCAAGATTTACATTAACTTCAACCAAACACTGAAAAGAAAGAGAGAGAGAGAGAGAGAGAGAGAGAGAGAGAGAGAGAGAGAGAGAGAGAGAGAGAGAGAGAGAGAGAGAGAGAGAGAGAGAGGTACTTGCCTGTGGGAGAGGAAGCTTGGCAGCCATAGCCAGAGACGAACGATTTTGCATTTTGGGAATGATAGGTTTCAGATTTCAGCTAATATCACTCTCGTCGCTTGTTGTGAGTGTGTTGTGGGCGTTCGGTGACTTGCGTGATTTCTTCTGGAGTCAGAAATCGAGTCGGATCATTCCATTTTGCTGTTTTAAAATATTTTTCGGAATTGCTGGGAAAGTTTCCCTTGCTGAATACATACGTACAAGATGGGCCACACACCATGTTTGTTTGTTTGTTTGTGCAGAGTGCTGCGCACCATGCGGATTTGAAAGAAGCTCGTTTTATACCTTTACCTCATTGTTGTGTGTGCGCCAAGCTTGTCATCTACGTGGTCCCATGAGCTCTGATGGCATGTTTGGTAGGTAGGTAGAGAGGTAGGGAGGTGGGATTCTTGGATCTCTTGGCTTCAGGGATGGCAGCTGCATATTGCGATGTGCAGCGTGATGTAACGCAATTACTGCGCACTTTGGGAAATCCTTGTTGTTGATCTGCTGCTCCTGTTTTGGCCTTGCCTTTTTTTATCTCGCTGTATGAATGCAGATTCTGGACTTGGTTCCAACGATTGCACAGCTGTACTTCCTGGAGAAGATACCAGCCACGGTGTCCTATGGCCAGGCAGCTATTCTTCTTTCCATAGGCTTGCAGCGTCAGGAGCTATCAGAAGTGGAGGTGAGTTGGGAGTGGACAAAAAAAGAAAAAGAAAAAAAGAAAAAAAAAGGCCTCCTGAATTGTTCTCTTGCACCGGAGCAATTGTCATCGGCTCTAATTGGTCGATGACCGAGCACGGATATACCAAAAGCAGAAACAGCCAAATTGTTTGTCTCCTAACACACGCAAGGGGTGGGGAAAGGGAGAGGATGTGAGAGAGAGAGAGAGAGAGAGAGAGAGAGAGAGAGAGAGAGAGAGAGAGAGAGAGAGAGAGAGAGAGAGAGAGNGAGAGAGAGAGAGAGAGAGAGAGAGAGAGAGAGAGAGAGAGAGAGAGAGAGAGAAGGACAGTAAAAAATGACCCCTCCTACAACGGAGGGTAGACCCCCCCATTCAGACCTCTGGCAGATCCCCTTGGTTCCATCCGGTAAGTATTGGCAACACTGGTCCTTCCATTCAAGCTGCCCCTCTGGTTGGAAAATTTGGTGGGGTGTGGAAGAAATGGTTGCCAATACTTAACGGACGGAACCAAGGGTCTGCCTGAGGCCTGAATGGGGTTTTCCCTCCCTTCGTTGTAGAACCATGGCGGTGGCCTTAAGGCCGTACTCCTCCTTGCATGGGGCTGTGGTTCAATCCGGTAAGTATTCACAACCACTCCTTCCATACCCCACCAAATTTTCTTGAAAATTAGACCGATGCATTGCCAAAGATATCATCAGGATAATCCCTCCGCCATAGTTCGCTTTTAAGAGCAAGCAGAAATGGAGGCTCAACGCCATGCAAGGAGGAGTACACCTTAGCTCGATGTCGAAACAAACCAACCGCCGCCATCTTTTCTGTTGCCGATTAGAGTAAGATCGTAAATCCTGGACATCTTTCCATTCAAACCACCCCTCTGATCGTAAAGCTGGACATTCTTCATCGTAGGAACACACTGCACACCTTCCTGCCCCTCACAGATACCCAACACACAACCCAAGATGGTGCCACCTCTCATCACCACCTGCATGTTCCAGAACCAAACTCTTATCGTAGCACGGTCGGAAAGGTTCAATCAACTCATGACTCTTCGCTCCGGAAGGCCCATCACCGAGTTTGCAGGTTACAAATACCGAGACATCATCAATCATGCGAAATCCGTGAAACAACCTTCCTATCCGTACCAACTCCTTAAAGAAAGTTAAATTCGTTATAAGCACATAACAGACAGTCGATTCCGGGGCTTGAAGGTTTCCCCATGGGAATCCCCATTGTCTGCTGCAATAGTCAATGTCCGGATGGGAGGCAGAAACGAACGTATCGCGAAGCTCAGAGTCAAAGGCGAGAATGCCTGGAAACGATACAACTTACAAATAGGCTCGGTTGAACTGGTGGTTTAATGGGACGAGTCTCTCGGTTCCTTTTGTTTTTGTTTTTTGTGTTTCTCAGCCTCTTCTAATTTTTTTGAGCTTTTTGTTGGGTGTCTTTTTTTTTTGCTTTTTTGCTGTTTTGCTTCTGCTTTTTTGCTTTTTGTTCTGCTTTTTTGAAGTTTTTTTTTGCTTTTCTTTGCTTTTTTTTTCTTTTGCTTTGTTGTCAAAAAGCGTTTGATATCTTATGTAAATATGAACTTTCAATAAAAATAATTGATTGAATACAATTTAAATAAAATACAAATGCAATTTAAATAAAATACAAATGCAATATAAATAAAATATGCAAGGAAGATGAGCGATAACGAACTTCAGCAATCACACAGCATCATATACACAAGACCAGATAGTCGTGACCTCGAACCAACAGCAGAATTGCATCACGAGTTTCACCAAATAAGAAGACACCAAGAGCTCAAAATTGACAATGCTGGTAAAGTCTCATCATCATCATCAATGAAGAACCAATGTTGATATCCTATCTGGCGCTCGGCGCCCAGACTACAGATGGCAGATCCTATCTAGCCTAGACTACAACGCCAAATGATGACGTCAACAGCTTTCCCGAAGTACGAGCATACAGCGACCAATGTCGCACGCTTCCAGCACAAGGTATGTCTCTCGCCACACTCACAACCTCGTTCCCCAACACACAGATGCCACTTGCACCCAAGGACCACCCTGCGTCACACCCAGCTTACAGCAGCGCAGCTCGGCTATGGCTGCCTGCTCCTTCCCTGCTCGCCCGTGAGCGCTTAGGCGCCAGCCAGCAAATAGCGCAGCAGCGCTTGCGCAGCATGCAGCCAGCACCCGAATGGTGAATGCAGACGCAGGCCCTTTGCTATATCGAAGTGGCTGCCTGCGTCCAGTCCCAGGAAGCTTCCAGTAGGCCCCGGTAGCCTGAGGCCCAGCACGAATGAGAACAGGCCTTGGGCCTGAGGTGGTTGCATGCGCCCAACTGCCTTTGGCCTGTGTTCGGCCCAGTACCCGTATCCAGCCCAGGGCCTGCTTTCCATACATTCACACAGGCGGCCCAGGGCTTGGGTTCTCTCAACCAACTGGCGCTGCACAACTGCCTGAATTTCCTTGAGTTGCGTGGTGACCAAAACAGGGCCCTGAGGGCCTCATCGAGCCTGCCTTCACTTAGGGCGGCCGACTTGCTTCAGAATGGAGCCATAAGGGGGCTCATAGAGGCATTGGCCTTGCATTCCCTCCTTAGCTTCGACGGTCCTCTGAGAAGCTCAATCTTCCATCATTGGGCGCTTTCACTTCTGCAGAGATCTCTTGTAATGGGCTACAACTTGAGGAGCGGTCTGCATGAGTTCCTCCCTGGTGAACCAGCGGTCCTCTTTCGGATCAGTGTGATGCCGGAACCGAATGCGCTACTGCAGCTTCAGTTTCGGAGGACGTCCCCTGCCTGTTGGTCTTGCCACTGGCAGCTCTCTGTGGTCCACGATATCATCGATATCCACCTCTCCGTCAATGGTTGGGGGCATCATTGAGTGGCGAGATGGAAACTGATCTGTTTCTTTGAACGGTGCAAGTTTGGAGGTGTGAAAGACAGGGTAAGTACGGAGATGACCAGGGATCCGGACTACGTAAGAAGGTCCATCCGGATCAGTCCCAACAATATCTAAGACTTCCCATTGTCCAAAGTACTGTGGCATGAGCTTGCGGGAGATTCCTTGCTCCTGTCCCAGTTTTGAGGACTTAACCCAGACTCTGTCCCCAACCTGAAATGAAGACTCACGGCGGTGTTTGTTCACAGATTTTATCATAGCCGCCTGTGCCTTTTGCATCTGTTCTACAGCCTGATGCATCTTCTGTTCATAACGGTAAGCAAATTCTAAAGTACCTTGTGCAGCAGTTGACTGATTATCAGGAAGGAGAAAATCTAAGGGTAGTCTAGGCTTGAAAGTCAATAGCAAACTGTCCGGGCTCACCCCGGTGGCGCTGTGTACCGCATTGTTGTACAGACTGGCGATGAGAGCAAGCTTCTCATCCCAGTCCACCTGGTTGGGTTTGATGTAATGCCTCAACATATGTTGTACAGCGCGGTTCAGTTGCTCAGCCTGGTCGTTGGCCTCTGGGTGATTCCCAGAAGTCATTTGCAACTGAGTTCCCTGCTCTGCAGCAGCGGCCTTCCACAATTCGCTGGTAAATCGGACATCCCTGTCACTAATAATAGACTTCGGTAACCGAAAGTCCCTAACCCAGTTCTCTTTGAATTCTGATCACATACTCCGTCCTTGCTGTTTCCGGCATCGCTACTAACCTAGCATATTTACTAAATCTATCCACGATGACGAATATGTGTCGTATCCCACTCTTGCTGGTGACCAGAGTATCCATGAAGTCCATGGACAGACTCTCACCAGGCCGTTCCGGAATCGGAAGGGGCTTCAGGAGCCCAAGAGGAGCCTGAGTACGTGGCTTGTCTCTTTGACATACCTGACAAGTCTCTACGTACAGCTGGGCGTCTCACATCATCGTGGGCCACCAGAACCGCTGCAGCAGATTGGCTGCGGTCTTCTTGTACCCAAAATGGCCGGTGGCATCATGGCACTCTCCTAAAAACAAACTACGCAAAGACTCGCTATTTGGGACACACAAACGTTTATTCCCAGCCTTCCCGAGGAACAGCAAGCCGTTGACCAACTCGGACTCTACAGAAGTCACTTTGTCCTTCGCTTTGAGTCTGCGGATGATCTCGGACATGAACGGATCCTCAGGATAGGTTTCCACCATAGACTGAGTAACATTGTCCGCAAGCACAAACTCAGTGATCAGCGCACCAGAGAAATCTGGTCTACGCGACAAGGCATCAGCAACCTTGTTGTACTCGCCCTTGATGTATTGGGGCTCGAAGTCATACTGCTCTATGACTTCGATCCAACGCTTCAGAGTGTCGGAGAGCACCGGTTGAGTTCTCATCCATCTCAGTGTCTGATGACCAGTCCTCAGGATGAAGAACCTGCCAAGGAGATAGTGTCTCCAATGGGTCAGAGCCTTGTAAACCGCATAGAGTTCCTTCTCATATGTGGACTTAGCCAACTTCTGAGAGGGCATCCTTTTGGACATGTACTCTACTGGCGTCAACTTTTTCCCTCCTGTTGTGCAAGTACGGCACCTATGCCATATTGGCTAGCATCTGTAGTCACTATAAATGGCTTGTCAGGATCAGGAAGTTTCAAGACTTCGTAATGCGTCAACGCATGCTTCAAATGTCTGAAAGCAGCCTCGCATCTCTTAGTCCATTCCCATGGGGTGTCAAGGCATGTCAAATCAGTCAAAGGGGCGGCGACTATGCTATAGTTCTCTATGAAATTGCGGTAGTAGCCGGTCATCCCTAAGAAAGATCTCATCTCAGTCACAGACTGAGGACGCGGCCAGTCACGAATGCTGGCCACCTTCGCGTCATCGGGCTTCAACCCTTCCGCAGAAATCTCATGACCCAAGTACAAGACACGGGTGCGGCCAAACTCGCACTTCTCACCGTTGATCTTGAACTTGTGGTGTCGCAGGAGACTGAGGACTTTGTCCAAGTGTGCAACGTGCTCCTCGACAGTCTTACTAAAAATAAGTATATCATTGAGGTACACGATGAAACACTTATCCAAGTAGTCATGGAAAATCCGATTCATAGCGTGCTGAAAGGTGCCAAGAGCATTGCAAAGACCAAAAGGCATCACCACAAACTCGTACAGACCGTACCTGGTCTGAAATGCGGTTTTGTGTTGATCCTCGGGCCGGATTGCAATCTGATGGTACCCAGACTTCAGATCTATTTTACTGAAGTACCGACACCCGTGCACTCTATCAAGCAAATCATCGATGCACGGTAGGGGCTCTCTGTTCTTGACAGTGATGGCATTGAGGCCCCTATGGTCAATGCACATCCGAAGTGTTCCCTCCTTTTTCTTAGGTACAAATAGTACTGGAGATCCATAAGGAGAGACACTCGGCCGGATCCAACCGTTCTCTACGAGTTCCTTGAGCTGTCGGCGAAGCTCATCGAGCTCGCCTGGAGACATCCGATAGATCCTACCCTTCGGGATGCTAGACCCTGGGATAATTTCTATCGCGTGGACGACCTCCCTCTCTACAACCCCTGTCGACTCTTCCAATAGATCAGGGTACTTAGCAACTACTCCCTCTATCTCCGACAGCATTTTCATCGGCTCACCTACAGCAGAGACATAAACTAAGTACATACCCTCCTCCTGATTTTGCTTATAATAGTTATAGAACGCGGCCGCRCACATGCATCCATGGGACTCAATCAGACTACCAGCTTTAAACTTATGCAATCTGGCGGTCCCTCCACCTGGCAAAGTGTGTTTGACCACTTTTCGGTCCTAGTCAAACTGGGGCTGTGCCACAGAGAGGTAGTACATACCCAACAACATGTCCATGGGGAGTTCATCGCTCACTAGGAACGAGACACGATGTCTCAATTCCAGTCCCGCGTACGGGAAACAACACTCCACATCCTGAAGGTAGTCGTTGACTACCATGCGTTGTTTGTTGGCACAGGTCGACTCAGGCGATGCACTCGCCCCTGTAAACGCAGCCTTTCAACGCACGCACGACTGATAAAGTTCCTAGTCGAGCAAGTGTCATAATAGGCCCCGACCTTGCGGCCGCCAATGACCACCTCGTTGACAAACATCTCACCCTTCGGGGCTTTGACTAGGGTCGTCCAAGAAGCTAGCGGGTCTGATCTAGACCACTCCTCTAGCTCCTCTTAAGGATTCAAACACATTCATCAAACAGAGGCTCGATGGTTCTGAACGTGTTTGCGGGACGATGCTGGAGTCAGTAGCTTGGGCCATCTGTCGAGATGGTGAGGGTGTCTCCACCACCTCGACCCTAGCAGGAACAACTGCTATTCCTACTGGCCCGACGTGTTTCCCGGAGCTGTGCCTGAAGTGCTGGCAACATTGCTACCAACGGGATGGGAAGATCCTTCCGCTTGCCCCATCGTAGGTGGGATCTTGTCGGTCACCTTCTTGTTACGGCACTTGAACTGATTATGGCCATATTGACCACAACGAATACACGCTTGCCGTGAGTACCGATCTCTCCACACGTCCTCAGTGAGACCCGCCTTCTCCCATGGGGGAGCGTTGCGGTCAACTTGACTCCTTGACCGGGAGCCTCCGCGGCGTCTACCGGTCGCCTTACCTTTTTGAGTTACGGCAGTGACAACTCCACCCCGTGAAGCTTCAACGCTGCCCGCCTCTGCACCTACTCCCTCCTGGAAGTTGTCTAATTCGATGGTGGAACCATCGTTATCGACAAACATAATGCGTCCCTTCGCCTTCCAGTTGGGAGGCAGTGTTTTCTTCCTACCATCCGTAGTGGGTGCCTGCCCATGCCCTACTTTTGCCTCAAGGTCTAGGGCCTTCTTGCTGAACGAGGGGAAGTTGTGAACATTGATGTTGGCCTCACGTGCCAACTGATTCCTGAGAGGCATTGGAAAGCATCTCAGGTACGAGGTGAGTAAAACCTGGGGGTCATAGCGCACCCCAGGGACACAGATCAGACGCTCTACAACGTCGGTGGCCTCCCTGATTGACTTGAACTGCCGTGTGTGCAGTGTCAAGATCGTGTCAGTGGCCTTTTGAGCCTCCTGAGGATCATGCCACCTTTCCTCCACCATCTTGAGAAAGTCCTCCAGTTTTTGGTGGGCTGCCCAAGAGCGGAAGTCATGACCATATCCCTGAAGTTGCACCAAACCGCTCAACCATCATGCTGCACTACCCTCTAGATAGGATGCAGCCACTAACACTTCCTCGTGCGGCAAGGTAAGCTTACACTTGACGTAGACCGGCACTGCCCTCAACCACGTGTCGAGGTCTTCGCCCCTCTTTATCCCCTGTAAAAGGTTTGGGAGCGGTGATGGCCATCTTTGGAACCCACTGTGTTTGTCCCGGTCCCTGCATCACTCTGGGCTGTGGACCCTGTGACACAGGTTGCTGTGCTAGCTGCTGGGGCTGTGTACCCTGCGGCTGTACTTTTTATCCCCTGTAAAAAGTTTGGGAGCGGCG